GGCCCAAGGGGGGGCTTTTTTTTTTTTTTTTTTTTTTTTTTTTTTTTTTTTTTTTTTTTTTTTGGAATACTGGTCGGGCGGTGACACCAAAATGGAGGGGGGGTGGAGGGGTGGAACTCTGCACAAAGTCTGGGCGCTGGCAGCCGTTGGACTGACGGCCGTTGGGAACCGTTGGGCTAGGGCCGTTGAGCTGTGCGGCCGTAGGACTGGCTGTCTTTGGGATCCGTTGGGCTGTGCGGCCGTCGGGGGATGTTGGCTGCATGCCTGATGGGCTGGTGGCCGTTGGGAGCTGCTGGGAGCCGTTGGGCTGGGGCCGTTGGGCTGCGCGCGCCGGCCCGGGCGGCAGGGAGCGGCCCGGGCACGCCAGGAATCTGGCAGCTGCCTTGAGCTGGCGGGGAGCTGCTGGGCCGCTTCTCCTCCTCTCCTCTCCCTCGCTAGTTTTGGGAAGTGATCAGCGATGAGCACGGGATTGACCCAGCCGGAGGCTACGTGGGTGACTCAGCGCTGCAGCTGGAGAGGATCAACGTCTACTATAATGAGTCTTCTTGTAAGTGTGGGGTGGGGACACCCCTGTGCAGGAAGTGGAGCCCAGAGATATGGGGCTCTGCAGGTTCCTGAAACCAAATTGCACATGTGGCTGCCCCTTCCCATCCTGTATCCGCTGTTATCTCCCAAAGTGGGCTGTCCCTATGGGCATGGCCTTGTGATCTGGAGGTGGAAGCTTGTTTGTTAGCTAACACTGCAGTAGGTGTTTGCTCTCGTAACATGTGATTAATTCATTAGATGTCTTATCAATTGCCCTGAATTAGGGCATTGATCAGATGAGCCTGCATCTGGAGAGTGCTGTCCTGATACCAGTATCAGGACTGACTGGTCTGGACTGGTAATGGAGGACTCAAGGATGAATCATTAAAAAGATGCCAAAGGTGCCTGAGTTCCTTGAGTCAGTTGAATGTTAGAGGGTGTTACATTGCAGAATGGGGATTACAAGTCCCTCAGCCTGCTGACATGAACCTGCAACGGTGTCTTAACTTGTGTCTAATATAGTTGTATCATTTACAAGAACTTCTTCCAGCAACTTCAGCTGGATACAGAATTCCTTAATCTCCTATGTGGTAGCTGTGCTAATCTACTGTTGTTTACCATCTACATTAAGTAGCTTTGTGGAGATGATTCTTCAAGTATGAAGCTTGTAAAGTGTCCTAGAATGATTTGTACAAAAAAAAAAAAAACACAAACAAACAAAAAATCCCCCAAAATACCCTTCAATTCATGCCACTATGCACAGGAAATAATGTGTCAAACATTTCTTCTGATTGAAAGCTTCCTCCCCTGTATCTATTGCTAAAAAAGATCTTTCAAAAAGTAGTATGCCATCTGTATGACCAAATCCTGGAAGACTGAAAGGCTGTTTAAGCAGAACTGATGTGTTCCAATGGTCCTGTCTTTTTTTGTTCGTTTGTTTTTGTTTGTTTGCTTGGTGTGTGATTTCCTGCATAGGAAGTACTTGTATATGTACACCCTAAAATAGGTTAACACTATGAGACAGAATGTATGAAAGCTACAAGAGAGTTGGCTTACATCAGAGCGTCTAAGTCATACTTGCTTTCTATTGTAGCCCAGAAATTTGTTCCAAGAGCAGTCTTGGTGGACTTGGAGCCAGGAACCATGGATAGTGTGCGGTCTGGTCCTTTTGGTCAGCTCTTCCGGCCTGATAATTTCATCTTTGGTATGTGTGTGTTAGGTTTCTTTTTGTACTAAAAAAAAAAAGAAACCTAACAGGTGTTCAACTACCAAGCAAATGATCTAAAAGTATTCAAACTATGTTGCCTCCTCTATATTTCAAATAGCTTAATGTCATCATTACACTGAAAAATCTAATAGTTTAACAATGTGATTCCAGTTAGCCAGGAGACAGCCATCTGAAAAATCCTATTAACCGAAACAGTCATTCTGTTAATCACTTTCCTTCGATTAACAAGCTACTGGAATCTTTCTATAATACTCAGATAGTCTATATTTGCTCTAAGGAAATTCTGAGACTCTTATTTACAACAAAATCCATGGAAAATCTGCAGAAATGGAGGGGGAAAAAAAAAAAAAAAAAACCTCAACCCCAAACCAGCCAAACCATAGTTAACTCAGTTTCTCATCAAGTCCTCGGATATGACATTGTTTAGAGACTATGTAATTTATTTGACTTTTTCAGCAGTTAACCAAAATGCAGTATACTAAATAGTGGAGGAACACTAACAGTAATGTGAAAACACTGTTGTATGTATACAGTTACTTAGTTGTTCTCTGATGTAATGACGAACCTGAAGCCCTGTGGGGAACTTCTGGTTTTGCAGGTCTTGGAGTTTTTTTGTTTTGGTTTGGTTTTTTTTTGTGAATGTTGCTATTTTACTTTGCAGTTCTGTAGTACTTCCTATCTAAGCTTAAAAATGCACATTATCATCATGAAATTTCACAGTGTGCTTGTGAAATGCAGAAACATTTTGGGTCTCTTTGCACTAAAGAGGAAACAATGTGTTAAAGTTAAAAGACCTCTGCTTGCCCAAACAGGAAGCCTGAATGAAAGTTACCACGAGAACTGTCATCTCCACTTGGTTTCCAAGGCTGCATTAGCCACAAGACAGTCCTCCGCTGCCGAGGCAAGCTTGGGTTGCAGCTCAATTTGGTGTATTGCCTTAACATAAGGAAGGAACAATGCCAGGGACAGAAGAATGATAAACGTGATTTGGGAAGTATGAAGCA